AATTCTGACATTTTCATGTTAAAGATGCATATAAAAATTCATCTATATTCTTATAAGTTATGGGTTACTTAAACTGCAGTCATAGCTCCCAACAGTGAAAAGAAAAACGAAAAAAAAATAGAGAGACAATGTTATATCCAGGTTAGAATAACACCCAACTTATGTAATATATCAATAGACTGAAAAAAGAAAGCATTTAATAACATCACGATTAGACCTCAAATTCAAAGTACAAATTTTCTGAATCTTTATTATTACAATGACTAAAACCGCGTGGAAATTCGTTATCATATTCCTTGATAGCAACATCCTGAAATAACTACCCTGACTCGTGCCCCGCGATCACTCACGAGAAAGAGCTCTCGGAAATCTCTCCCACGAAAATAAACTAATGCGAGTATCTTTTGTTTATCTTTAATTCAATTGCCTATAAAACTCAAAGGCTATTTGAAGCCATTTACACATATTTGTAGTAGCCCAAAACATGTCTTCGTGATATAATACTACCGTACAAGTATGTTTTTTTTTCTGTAACGTCTCGCTATCAACATTAGTGTGTTATATGAAATTCAAAGAAGGTGACAACTAATTGCCACTACACAAATACCCGCTCTTCTTTGTATGAGCAGATTTACTGATAATCGCTTTGACTCGTGTGTTTGGCAGTGTGTCAATAAATCTGTGCAAGTACTATGGATTTGTATTAAACTTTAATCTGGGTTTCACTTTTATGACGCATACAGGAGCCCTATAACTGCCTCCACTTCTCTGTTGCGGTTTTATCAATGGCTATTTATCGGGCCTTAGTGTGGCGCCTCTTGGTTTAGCTGAGACAACACGAGTTCAGGTGGGCGATGGAAGAAAGTCACGCGAACAGGAATTCTAGGAGCGCGGGTTTGTCTGATTTCCACCAGCAATTTGAAACGGCATTTTGGGTCATGGCGTGTTGCCGTCGATGGAATGAGGGCGGGCGGTTGAAGCTATGGTTCGCACCTCCATATTCCCAGATACGTTTTCCATAGGCTAGAGACCGCTTACAACAAAAGAAAAAGTGGAAGAGTAACAGCAACAATGGTGATAATAATGATATTAATGATGGTAATAATAATGATGATAATAATAATAATAGCGATAATAATTATAAGTTAAATTTGCAAATGGCGCCTAAGACCAATATCCAGGTGAATATCATGTATTCTAAAAGTTCTCGTCGTGTTTCGAACGAATTTTGCACTCATTTCGTTCACAGACGAAGCTCAGCTACGATATCGGCCTCGACAGCTGGGAAGGGAATGATAAGTATCTGGGAAACTGCGGCATAAAAGCGAGTGATCGAAGTAAAACTTTCCGTAATTTAGTGATTGAGAAGCGCATTTATATCAAAGAGTTGACTTCGCCCTCCAAACCTCCTTTCAAGAGGGTTTGCTGTCCACTTACCCCCGCCTGGTCTGCGAATTTTCACCTCGTATGTCCCGGCAGGATAGAGTCCGTTCTTGCCAGATCATACGAGGTGTTTGCTAGCTAGACAAGGCGACACCCCCCCCCCCTCCCGCCTTGTCTACTTATCCTCCACCTTGTATGTTGTGGCAAGGTAGGCAAACAGCTGGATCTCGCACCGATAATTTTTCGACCAATAAATCCGCAATGGCTAACCTGCGCCAAAATCTTCGTCGTCGCTTTTGGCGAGCAATGCGACCATTATCCGCCGTTTTTTTAATTATTAATATTATTATTATTATTACTTCCATTATATCTTGCATATCTAAGCCGAAACAGCACCTTATCCACAGCCTAGCCATGACGGAACTGATTAGACTTTCAACTGACTTCCCTTTGGTCCAGTTTCCATTGTCCAGTGATCATCTGCTCGTTCTTATTGCCTCTAGGAGACAGGTCGCTAGTTTCCATTGTCACGTGACGGCCAAGTACACTTCTATCGACTCATTTATTGTCATCCGCTGCAGTCTTTCGCACCGCTGGAAGAGCAGGCAATATATAGCAGCCGGAAATGTTGAGTTTTACATCCTATCTTTTACTCTTATTGTTAGTTTGCGAAGAATATACAACGGAAGAAAAGTGTCTGAGTGTCAACGTTTTGTTGGAGGGCAAGGGCAGATTTTTCAATTTCAGTGTTGGATGTTATTTCCGATAATACCAGTAATTGTCATGATAATATAATAATAATAGAAATGATGATGATACTAGTCATGACAATAATGATAATAACATGAGCCATGATGATAATAACAGAGTGCGATATCGTCATGTTTTTCTTAGTCTGTCCTAACTTTTACGTTTTCTTTGATATACGATTTTCCTGTTTGTTCATGATGTACGTGTCCTTGCTGGATAAAGATATACAAAGGCAGATAAATTATGGTAATGATGGAAGCAGTAATAAGGATAATGATGGTAAGAGTGTTTATTTGTTTTTGTTTATTTTAAGAGTGTAGGCAGAGAATCTGTGTAACACTCCTTTTTTTCTTCAAAGTAAAATTTTGGTAATGAATATAAATGAAGAAAATAATGATGATGGTAATGATGATGATGATGACAATAATAGTAATAATAATAATAATAATAATAATAATAATAATAATAATAAAATATGATCATGATAATAGTAATGATAATAATGATAATAATAATAATATTAATACCACAAATAATGATAACGATAATATGAAGATAATGATAAGGATAATAAAGATAATGAAAATACGATAGCCATAATGGTAATAACATTAATCATAATAATATTGATAGTAATGATAATGATTAAATGACAATGCTAATAGTCTACAGTAATTGTAACCTTAAAAAATGTGATTATACTGGTAAAAATTCTGGTAATAATGCCAATGCTAATGACTGATAACATTAACAATAATAATGATAATGACATCAATAATAATCATAATAATTATGTCAGCAATAATAATCATAATATTAATGACAGCAATACTATTCATAATAATTTACCAATAATAGTAATTATGTGAAACGGGCTCACAAGACCCACATTTGGTAAGAAAACATTTGCAGAAGCAGATCAAAGACCTAACTGACAGTGCCATATAGTGGTCTTTATTTCTAAGAGTATTCTTACAGAAAAATATATATTGTAAGTAATTACTTTTTCTCTAAATTAATACAACTACATTAAAATATATATTTTTTGTCTAATTCAAATTCAGAAAATTTAAATTCTGCTCAACAAAAATTATAAATATTCCATAACTAAGAAATAACATCAAAGGAATTGAGGGTGAACACAGAAAACGTAGTTCTGAGTATGAAGGAGTAACTAATGTATTTAACTATAATAACAATGTAAATGGTGGTGGTAAAACAATAGTTGTGACATCATCATCAATACTGATAATTGTACAAATGACAGTCAGTGACATTACTAACACCATTAAAACCACCCGTAATAGGTACAACTGTCGAAACGCGTGATGCCTGCCTGTCTGCCGACCGTTAACGGACGTCTAGGCGAGGGAAGAATTCTTACTGTTGCTGGCTGGGGCCGTACTGAAACAGGTGAGTTTTACAGTTTCTGCGTGGGTTCGACACATGTCCGATTTTATTTATTTATTCATCTATTTATTATCATTATTATTATTTGTATATATATATTATCATTTTATTTTTTTTACGTACTGCTGATATTGTTCAGAAAAATACTACCTCTACCACAGGCAAGTCATTATCCTTACCATACGTCTCTCCCTCTCTCTTTCAACAGCTGACATCTCCAACGTGTTACTGAAGGGCTTCGGGAGAACATTATCTCGCTTTAAGTGTGACGATGCACTAGACACAGGTGGACTCAATAGTGAGTTTTACAGAGCAGGAATTACAGACTCCATCATCTGTTTGGATGAAAGCAGTTCGGGTGCTTGCCAGGTAATAGTTTGGTGAATGTTCTTATTATTTCAGTTTTTCCTACTTTCTTATATGTTTGATAATAACTGTTATCTGTTCTTGTTTACACTTTTTGAGCGTTTGAATATTCATCGAAGTTTATACTAGCTTACCCTCTTTTGATCAGTTTTCTTTGGTGTGTGGCGTTTTAATTTTATTTTCGTTTTGGCGTTTAATTTCTTTTCGTTTTATTAGTAATTGTCATTGTGATTTTAGAAATGTGTTAAGTGTGATAATGTAGCTAACCGTTTTAAAGTATTTAGTGTATGATTATTAATTTGCTTGCAACTAGGTATACTTATCTTTCGCTTAGCTTATCCTCCTTCCGTCTCCGTTTTCTCTGATACATGTTTTTCTTTTGGGTGTATGATTTGTATTTTTATTGCCGAAGCAAGTACATATATTCTTGACTTCGCAAATCTATTTAAACTGAACTGATTAGCTTTTTCTTATTGGTCTTAGGAAAAGGCATTATACAGATACATATACAATGATATTTGATGATAACGATGGTCGTGGTGATCAGACTATAAATAATATAGACATTAGCGGTGGTAACAGTAATGAAGATATGTATATACATACAAGCATACATACATATATATGTGTTTGTGCATATATACCTATATATACATACATACATGCATATATATATATATATATATATATTATATATAATATATATATATATATATATATATATATATATATATATATATATATAATTATATATATATATGTATTATATGTATATATATGTATATATATACATATATATATATATATGTATATATATATATATATATATATGTATATAATGTATATATATATATATATATATATATATATATATGTATATATATATATACATATAATATATAATTATATATATATATATATATATATATTATATATATATATATATACATTTTTATATTCATATATACATGCACATACATATATATGTGTTTGTGCATATATACCTATATATACATATGTACTGATCACGAATTCAACTCTCCCTGCGCATTATGTAATTATCTGTTAATAGTAAGATTAATTCTAAACATTGTATCTGGTAATTCAATTGCGTACAATTTTCATTTTCTTTTTTTCCTTTTCTCCACAGGCAAGTAATTCTTGGCAATAACACGATAGGATTCTTTCAGTCCTTCGAACGTTGCTTTCCACTTCAGTTTCACAATCCATTTGAGAATTGAAAAAAGATTTATAACCTTCTTCTGACCTTAGCGCAATAATTGTTCTATTTCTCCCACTCACTCTATCTATTTCATTAATTATCTATTTCGTCCCGGCAGGGTGACAGCGGTGGTCCTCTCACAGGCGAAATCCCCTCAACGTGCCAACATGTCGTCTTTGGCGTCGTGTCCAAAGGCTCCCCAAGCTGCCAGGCAACAACTGTGCCTGGAATTTACACCAACGTTGAGCACTACATTCAATGGATTGTTGATAACGTTTGGCCCGAGGAAAATCTTTAACGACAAGCACTTTGGTAGAAACCCACACGTTGCATCAACTAGATTTATTGAAATGATTGAGACAACAGTTTCGGAATCCTCCTGAAATCCATCTTAAGATCTAAAGGTAGATTCCAGGATTGCGAAACTGTTATCTCCATGATTTCAATAAATCTTTCATGTGCGTTGCGGGGTTTTCTACCATAGTATCAACATGGAGGGTTTTTCCATTCAGCAAGTACTTTCAAAATTTACTCTACATTACGGAAGAGATTATAGTTGTATGTAATATTTTGATTAGATTATTTAAAGAGTATATTCCTGTCTTTTGGAGACTAAATAAATCGGTCAGATTTTGACCATCATAATATATTGAATAAAAAATAGATACTGGGTGAAGTGCATACATGATTTTGAACGCATGTGAAAGGTTATTTTGTATAGACAGTATTATTGAGACAAATGTGCTAATTGATTACCTTAAAGTCAAGAAGATAATTGCCAGTCTAACATTTTGCAAAGATCACCTAATATGATGAACATCTAATGGCAATTAACTTATTGACAATAATCTACTAATTAGCAGAGGTTCCTCTGAATCAAAACTACAGATCAGTTTTCTTTCACAACAAAGTGTACGCTGAAGGCCACTCACAACTCTCATTATTATTATTATAAACGTCTTCATTTCATTTCAAGCCTTTAAAACCATACCTTCGCAATTAGTACATGCACCTTTCATTCTTCTTATCAGTAATCCTTATTTAGAACCATCACACACACACACACACACACACACACACACACACACACACACACACACACACACAACACACACATATATATATATATATATATATATATATATATATATATATATATATATATATATATATATTATAAAAAGGCAGCCACGTTTCCCGTTCATGTTTATCACTGGCGCCAATGTAGATCCCTTACAAAGATATACACTCTTCACCCGAGGTTCACGCATTTCAAATATACTTGATATATAGTTAAATTGATATAATCGTCAATCGTGTATGCCAGACTGTTATTATTTTAGATATTTACCGATATAGTTAAATATCTGGTATGAAAGTTAGCTTATTAAAGGACCCCAATTATTTTGTTTTTATAAATCCTTTCGGTCTTTTTATGAACGCTTCAGTAAAATAGAATATATGGATAACCAATTCCAACTTTTGACAAGCTTTATATGAAGACGGAATAGTATACAAAATGCAAGTATACGGCTGAGAAGGTGCATTTAAAGAAGCACTAATTATTTAGCATGTTGGACCCAAAAATGAAATTGACTTTTTACAAAGAGGATTCTGATGGCTGTGTGGAGCTCTCATCGTAAGCAAGAGAGAGGTTTTTGGTTTCACTTCTCGTAATTATAGCAATATCGAGCGTTATACAAATTATTATGTCTCACTGTGTACTCTCAATGGGTTAACTTGGACCCTTTTTGACCTGGTCAAAGTGTGGTAATTTGATTTTTAAAAAACCTATTGTCTTTGTAAACGGTCAGTATTAACTGGAGAAAGATTGAAATGGATATTTATACATACACACACACACACACACACACACACACACACACACACACACACACACACACACACACACACACACACACACATATATATATATATATATATATATATATAATATATATATATATATATATATGTATGTATGTATATATGTATAGTGTGTATATCTATATACATACAATTCAAACTCTGGTTGTGTAAGAGATTCAGACTCAACAACTGCACAATCGTGTAGGGTACACTAAGTCATTAGCCTGTAACTCCATTAGAGATTCATAATGCACAGCTGCTCAAGGAATGTAGTCTAGAGCTGAATAAAAGGGAAAAAATCAACAGTTGGAAACAGGAGTTGAAGCCTACAGCTGTCAGAGGGATCCGAAGATTACAGTTTTACAAGAACATAGGATAGTAAGTATACTGGTGCCCAATGGATTCATAATATATTGCTCAAGGGGTTCAAACCATATTCTTGAAAGAAGAGTTTAAAATTCAACAGTTGAAGAAAATTCAAAAGTTTATATACAAGGGAATTAGAGGTCACTGTTGGGCAAGAAATTAAAGCTACAGCAGTATATGAGATACAGAATGTGCAGCTTCACAGGGGAATCGAATCTAAACCAGTGGTCCTCAAACCTTTATGAGTGATGGCACCCTAGTTCTTTCTGCAGCACCCTGTGACTTCACCCCCTCTAGAGAAGCAACCTTTTTTTAATTGCCTTATTTGATGCTTTTGTGAAATTTTCGAAATATTTTCATGTGTTTTGAATATATTGAACAAAGAAAAAAATGGAATTATATGGTGTTTTGAATATATTGAACAAAGATTTTTTTTTTTAATTATATGCTGTTTCCCAACACCAAATATAACTGACTGATACCCGAAATAACTGATTGCTCGGGCTAAACGTAAAATATGAACGGCAGATAAGAGTCATTCCTTATACTCCCATCCTCGCTAACGCATTTATCTCCACAGCGAAGCATTTTCTGCCTCGAATTATTGAAGCTCGAATCAAAATCAACTCAGCTTACGTGTTCAAATGACAAATATAGTTACCAAGAGAGAGATCAACCTCAAAGGTCAACAGTACAGCTTAACAAGGAACGTTAAAGTCTACAGTTCTCTAAGGGATTGGTAAGTCCACTTCTACGTACACGAACAAAGTCATTCAAGGCCATTTCTGCAAAGTTAACGTTCATTGTCTTGTTCGCAGATTAACATATACCACACGTTCCACCTACATTTTGATATTTTCGTTGTCCATTTTTTTTTCATTAATTTTACGACAAATTTTAGTTTATTTAGATTCTATGTTCAGTTCTAGTTATTATTCCCCTTCCCTCTGTCTGTCTGTCTGTCTGTCTCTCCTCTTCCTCTATCTATACGCACACTGGCTGCGTACACTTACAAGCATAACCACTTTAATATATTCCAGGTTATCTCTTTCTTTTTTTGATCTTCATCTTTTGATCTATATATATTTCTGATTTTTTCTTTCCTATTGCTCACCCTCTCTTCCTCCCTCGTACTCCAAATAATCTACTTTTTTTTTTTTTTTCTTCCTTCCTTCTTCCCTATTCCCGAAACAACCCCACCCTCCCATAAAGAGAGAGAGAGAGAGAGAGAGAGAGAGAGAGAGGAGAGAGAGAGAGAGAGAGAGAGAGAGAGAGAGAGAGAGAGAGAGAGAGAGAGAGAGAGAGAGAGAGAGAGAGAGAGAGAGAGAGAGAGAGAGAGAGAGAGAGAGAGAGAGAGAGAGAGAGAGAGAGAGAGAGAGAGAGAGAGAGAGAGAGAGAGAGAGAGAGAGAGAATGAGAATGAGAGTGAGAGAGATGAAAGCCACTCTCGGGCGGCGTTGCAGATTAATCCTTATCGACCTGAATTCCTCAGAAGATTCCATGAATCACCCGCTCGGTTGTAGGCGCTGGTGAGTCATGTGAGCGCTTTTTCGCTATGTCAATCTTGTGAATTTTTTTTTCTGTAATGGTTAATTTGTCTTTTGTTGCAGGGTTTATTTTCGGAGCTCTCATTGGCTAGTTTTCGCTATGTCAACTTTACCTCGTGATAAGCTATCATTCTGAATTCTTACGTATTCCTTTCTATTATGCTGCTTTTGTGTCTCCCTCTCCAATCTTTCCAGCTTTTTTTACTAAAGTTTTTCAATAGGTATTTCCCTTTTTTTTTAACGCTATGCTAAGGTATACCGCAAGAGAAACGTTACGGTTGGCAGCGAGACGGAGAGAAAACGAGGGGTATCACTGGTTTTATTTTCTTGAAATATCACACGACAAAAAAAAAAAAAAAAAAAAAAAAAAAAAAAAAAAAAAAATTCTCTACTGCATATATACGACATCGGGACTTGTCAACATGAATGAGTGAGTGAGTGAGCCAGCAAACGAGCGAACGAGCGAGGGAGAGAGTGAGCAAGCGAACGAACATTCTATTTTAGTATACGTAAGCTGCAACATAAACAGACAAGGGGGGAGAAAGATGCAATAAAAGGGGAAAAAAGCAAATTCAAAACAAAATTGATTGATTGCAATGAAAAGATGATTGATCTGCAGATGTCGCAAAATTCACAGCTTCTATAATTCAGTTTATGATATCAATACACTTACAAATATCGACTTTCTTGTTTACCAAAAATGAAATCTAAAATATATTTCATGACATGCATTTTTTTTCTTTCTTTTTTACTTTCTGGACATATTCTTTCGGTCTTTTCGTTATCTTCTCCGTTTCTACTTCACATAATCTCTTCAGATTTTTGGTCTCTTTCTTTGCTTTTCGTTTCTTTTACTCTTTTTCCCACTTCTCTTTTCCCCTTTCTTTTTTTCTTTTTAATCTTTTATTTTTTCTGCTTTGCCATTTTCTCTTCTTCTCTCTCTTCTCTCTCTCTCTCTCTCTCTCTCTCTCTCTCTCTCTCTCTCTCTCTCTCTCTCTCTCTCTCTCTCTCTCTCTCTCTCTCTCTCTCTCTCTCTCTCTCTCTCTCTCTCTCTCAGTCTGTGTGTGTGTGTGCATGCGTCGAAAATTGGTTTCTATTTTCATATAAGTTTATTGATGATGCACGTTGATGGATCTGCAATGTGGTACAAATTTGCGTTTGCATCTAATCTCCCTTTCTCTTCATGTTCTTCTTGTCCTTTTCCTTTTCCTTTTATCGGTCTGCTCTGTGGTGGTCGTATGCGTTCGAGCTGATAAAAGGAGCGTTCATTTGCAACATTGCCTTAATGAACGGTCAATGACAAGGGGTTGTATAAATGCGCATATACGTTTGTGTGCGTGTGTTTGTTTGGGTAAATTTATTATTTATTTATTTTTATTTATTTATTTGTGCGTGTGTGTGTGTGTGTGTGTGTGTGTGTGTGTGTGTGTGTGTGTGTGTGTGTGTGTGTGTGTGTGTGTGTGTGTGTGTGTGTGTGTGTGTGTGTGCGCGTGTGTATGTGTACGTGTGTTTGTTTGTAGGAGTATGTGACTATCTGTTTATTTGTATGTGTACATGGTGACGTCGCATGTTCATGTAGTTTTAACAATGCGTGTTTAATATTCGTAAAGAAAAATATACAGATAAAAGATGATATAAAGCAGATTATTAATCATAATCAGTTTTATCACTACATGCTTCTATTTTCAAAAATATCATAACAAAAAAAATAAAAATGTGTAACTATTCCACCCATTCATCATTAGTAAGCAAATGATGAAAAAATAAACGTGACAAATACACGTTATGAGAGTGACACAATACTGTGTAACAACAGATATGAAATATGACAAACATTTTAACATATGACAAGCATTTTAACATATGACAAACATGACAAACATTTTAACATATGGCAAACATTTTAACATATGGCAAACATTTTAACATATGACAAACATTTTAACATATGACAAACATTTTAACATATGACAAACATTTTAACATATGACAAACATTTTAACATATGACAAACATTTTAACATGGGTTATTATAGTGACAACAGTGACACTTTACTGAGTGTAGTAGCTATAGTAATGCTAGTAACGATGATACCGGTTATAGAATAATAGAAATAGGATAACAGATATACAACCAAAACATTTTCCTTTCTGCTTGGCCAAACAAAATCGAAT